GAATTTCAAACATGAAAATATGAAAATCCCCAGATACATAAAAGAATTCTTAGTGTTCAGCAGACTACAGACTTGAGAATTAATGGATATATTAGGAAAGAAACAAGCAATGTCATAAAATAATAAGTTATAATTTCTAATAGTTACTGGGAAGTTACTGTATGCCATGGTTGCCAGGATTGTTTAGCCATATGTAGCTATATCAACATTCAAGATTACGGCATGGCCTCATGCTTGCTTTCAGTGCTTTTTTAATCTCTTGAACCATCTTCCATGCCTTTCTTGTAGCCAACCTGTCAGGATTGGTTTAGGACCTACAGTGATGCTGGAATGCTGGACAAAAGCTTTTTTACTCCACAGCCTGCAGAGCGCAGGGTCTTTGCAGTCAGTACCAGGACTCAAACCCAGGTCTCAAGCATTCAAAATATGTGCTCCAGACATTGGAGGTATCTCCCCAGCCTTGGCAAGCATTTTTTGTCACTGACAACCACATTCTGGGTCCTTAGGACTAGCTTGAGGGGACTTGGGAGTTTTTTGTGGATTTGGGATTTGATTTTGGGCTTTGGACCACACACAGTGGTACTCAGGGGCTACTCCTGGCAAGACATTCAGGAGACCATGAAGTGTTAAGGGTCAAACCCAGGCCCTTTCATGCATAGCACATGTTCCAGCCTTTTGAGCTATATCCTCACCCCCAGGACCGATTTTTAAATAAATTATACATTTAATTCTCCTTTGAGCCGGAGTGATAGCATAGCGTGTAGGGCGTTTCACACAACCAACCTGAGTTTGATTCCTCCGCCCCTCTCAGAGAGCCTGGAAAGCTACTGAGAGTATCTCGCCCACAGGGCAAGCCTGACAAGCTGCCCGTGACGTATTCGGTATGCCAAAAACAGTAACAGCAAGTCTCACAATGGAGACATTACTGGTGCCCACTCGAGCAAATCGATGAACAACAGAAGGACAGTGCAGTGCAGTGCAATTCTCCTTTAATCATAAGCCTACAGAGAGTAAACTATCTAAGGTCACACAGCTAGGAACTTGGTAGGATTTGAACCTAGGGAGATTTGAGTAGATGGCAGTAAAGATTTTAATTTATCTTTCTGCAAAGAGAGTGAAAAGAGAGGTATTTACATTTATACCAGCTGAACCTTAAATTGTTGGGATATGAAAATGCAAGTGAAATGGGGTACTTAGAAGTCTTCAGAGGTGCTAAAATAGAGCTGGGAACAGCATAATAAGATTTACTCTGCAGATTACTGTATTTGTTCATTTGATTTGAGGAATTTACAAAGCTTATTGGAGCATCCAATAACTTATTGACCAGGGAAGTAAATTACAAATATCTAAAATGCTTGTTATGAGAGTGGGGGTAGAAAATGGGGTGGAATCAGGTATTACCCTTTGAAGACTGGAACAGAAGTTGGCAAAGGGGAAATGGCTTTTACCAGACATTGGCATATATTCTATAAGGTAGGGGAAATGAATGTGAGAAGAAAAGATCATTTTAGTTAATACCCAATGTTCTAAAGTTTCAGGGACTTTAAACCATTGTGAATTAGAGATTTGTGGCAATTCAATACCACTGATTGCCATAAAACACAGGATATTGAGATTCCAAGATTAAGACTCTAGCAATTTTAAGACAATGAAATGCTGTGGTGGCACTGAAAAAAATCCAAGGATTTAAAATGTAAAGCTCTGGATATGTTAAACACTAATTCCCCTTGCTCTTCAACTCATTCACAATTTTTGCCTCTAGGACAGAAGAAATGGGTTTGGGGGTCAGGGGCCGTGGTGGCAAATAAAAGGGATTCACTTAGGAAGGAATTTAGAGTCTCCATTCTAGTTAGCTTTAACTGGAATAGTTTTGTTTTGTAATGAATATTTCTGCATGATTTCATTTAATAAAAGCATTCCAAACCACACATAAAATGATAAAAACACTTCACTAAGGAAAAATACGATGTGGAACCTTGGAATAGTTTTCTAGTAGATAGAGCACCCTAGGCCTTTGCCCTTGTTGAAAACAAGAACAGACAAAAGCAAGAATGTTTTGACTGAAAGATTCGGGAGAGGTCAACAAACAAGTCAGTGAATCAGTCAAAAAGCAGTAACAGCAGCCAGAACAACAAATGAGAATAGCAGTTACCATACTGAGCATTAACTTTAATCTGGGTAAAGAGCTAAATATTTATGCTGATCGTGCCATTTCCTTCTCTGTAGCTCTGTTAGATAGATGTTATCTTATTTTAGATATTATCATGATTTTGCATATTTAAGGATTGTTTGAGTGGTCTAAGTGTATAGAAACAAACCAAATAAGAAAATTTTAAAATGCTATCCTGGAAGTAGATTTAATAGCTGCTCATGGTTTATGCAGTTGAAATATATCCCCAGTTAGGGGATCCATTCCTTTGAACTCAGGTAAATTTGAGTTCAGAAGGACAAATCCACAAACTTGCCCCTAAAATAATGGATGTCTGAGACCTTATTTTAAGAGGGCAATGTTTAATATAGAAAAAACTTCAATAGAAAAAAGAAGGCAGAGATAGTACAGTGGGTGAGGTTGTGTGCAGCAGACCAGGATTCAATCCCTGGCACCACATATGGTACTCCAAGCCCCGTCAAGTTGTGTCAGATGTGGCCCCAAAACAAAATGAATAAGAAAATATTTCATTCACAGAAAGGAAAGATTTTTTTTTCACTAAAAAACATTTTTTTTCAGACTTATACATTTTTGTGCTTGGGTTTCAATTATACAATGACCAAACACCCATCCCTCCACCAGTGCGCATTTCCCACCACCACGGATCCCAGTATCCCTCCCACCCCCCAGCCCCCATCCCACCCTGCCTCTGTGGCAGGGCATTTCCCTCTCTCTCCTTTTGAGTGCTGTGTTTTGCAAAAGAGGCATTGAGTGGCAATCATGTTTGGGGAAAGGAAAGATTTTGTTAGTTACTTGTTTGCTTATAAAACTTATTCATTTTTTTTCATTCTATAACTTCTTATTGAATACCAACTATGTGCTCTGAAACTATATCTCGAACATCCAGATTTGGAGAAACTGATTTGTTTGATATCATTCTTAAACCTAAGGAATTTGTTAAATTACTAAACCATTTAGGTGGGCACCTATTGCTTGATTACAAATATTTTTTCAGTCCACATTCAGTTGTTATTTTAAATAGTCATTTTGTCTTAAGCGGCAATAGAATTTATAGATTCTAGATCATGAGACAGAGGAAATTTAGAAACAAAGATGCAATTTCCTATATTTTCTAAGTCAGTTGGTCAGACAAACGAGTAAACTGTATAATCTTAGGTAAATCATTTCATTATATAAACCTCAGTTTCCTCATCTGTATTGTGGTGTCAATAGCCACTTTACTTAAAAGAACATAAGATAAATCAAGTTTCTAGAACAGTGTCTGACATGCCAAAATGCTTAACATGTTTTCTGTTATTATGATCATTATTTTCCAAGGAAGAGGACTGAGTCCCAGAGAGAAAATGGAACTGGTCCAAGGCCACATACTTTTTTTATATTGGAACAAATTTTAGAATCCAGATCTCTATTAATCATCATTAATTACACATTTTAATCTATAAAAGTTGGAAATACAATCTTCCTAGACCTGCAAGAAATATTTTGGCACATCAAGGGAGAAAAATAGTAATACATTATAAAAAATTACTGACATAACAAAAGAATTTCTTGGGATCTGGAGAGATGGTACAGGAATTAAAATGCTTGCTTTGCCAGGCACCAACCCTGATTCAACCCTCCCCCCACCCCCAGCACAAGATGGAGGAAGCAAGGTTGGAAGGGAGGGAGGGAGAGAGGGAGGGAGGGAAGAGTAAAATAAGTCAGGACTGAATAAACAAGTGTTGTATGATATTGTCTATGTGTGCAGTATAAGTATATAACATTGATGGATACAATAAGATAAACCTTTTAACAAATTAGAATTAAGGTTATACAAAGAATAGGAGGTGTGAGAGGAATATAGGATGAGTAAAACGAAATCCTGGACTCAGAAAACAGAACAGTAACAAAGAAATAAGAGAGCAAAAAAGTAGTGACAGTTACCAGAAAGTTTAAATGCTTGATGAATCTCAATATGAATCCTGTTCAAATTCCTTTACTTACTGTGAACGTTTCAATGAAATTTTCTAGATTATTCTTTTCTTGGGAATTGAAGAGGTGTGGTACATGTGTGTTTCACGAAAACTAAAAGTGACTGATTCCGTTTTACTAGACATTTTCTATTTGCAAAGCAAGAGAGTTCTGTGATTGATATTATAATGGAAGCATTAAGTCCTCTCAAAACTTAGAGAATGATTTCAAGATGACTGTGTGCTATACTGAAACCCCACAGTAGAAGCTGTTGAGAAAAAATGCAAAATGAAGGGGGCAGTCAGGGGAGCGGCTCAACACTAAAGTCACATCATTATTGCTGCCTATAGATATAGTATAAATAGATACAGCATTTAGGTTAGATGACGATTGTGATAGACGAAAAAGAAACATTATAAATACATGAATAACATACTCTGTATGCTAGAAGCAAAATTTAATTTGTAGTTATGTAAGCAAAAGGTGAAATATTATTTCCTAAGTTCTAAATCACTTTAGTCAGAGAACTGCAATGCTGGTTACTGCACCATCCAAGGAATATATGACACTTCTTATTCCAGGAGTTAGAGAACTTCTGGAATAAGATGAAAAAATAAATTTGCTCAATTTATTACTAACTTATAGTGCCATATCACACAGTTTGCTTTTAGCAACTGTAGTTCCTAATCCACCAAAGGACATGACTTCATGATTTGTTACTGTTTCAGGTGCAATTTAAGCAAAATAGTTATTCATTTTTTAATTTATCCCTTAACCTTGAGTTTGCTGATATTCCTATCCTGAAAACAATTATGTTTCATTCCAGATGAAATCTATTGATAACACGTTGATTATTTATTTATAATTTCTACATTCACAGGGCATCAGGTACTGTTTATACAGCTCTAGACATTGCAACAGGACAAGAGGTGAGTGTTTTATTTGTATTGTTCATATTTTTTCTTTGATGGCATCAGTGTCTGAAGAAAAGTTTAGCACTGGTTTGAGATGGGAATTTACTTCATTGGTATTCAAAGTATATTAAATAGATGGTTTAATCATGAATGACAGAGAAAAGGAAATACAGGTCTGTGGCACTGAGAAAGAACCTAGTAAGATAAAGAACGGGTATGCCTCCCTCTATATGTGAATAAATATGAATGTTTGTGTTTAGTATTATAATTGTAATTCATTTTTGAATTTTAATTCATCTTCAGGTGGCCATAAAACAGATGAACCTTCAACAGCAACCCAAAAAGGAATTAATTATTAATGAAATTCTTGTCATGAGGGAAAATAAGAACCCCAATATTGTTAATTATTTAGATAGGTAAGTGTTTTCTCATATCTTCTTTGTCTTCTTTGTGGGGTGTCACTTTCTTGGCAAATTATTTTATTTGGAATTTATTCTGATAACATCCATTCTACAAATATTTCTCAGCTATTGCAGAGTTAGCAACTCTGTTGCTAAACTTGCACCCACCCCACCAAATATTTGAAGAAACATTTTATAGTCTTCTAAACATGAACAGTTTGTTTAATTTCCTTCTGAGAATCATGACTTCATGTGAGCAGGAAATAGTTTCATATATGAATGAGCTATGATACATTAAACATTTCGTCAAGTGTTTTTTTGGAGGCAGTGCAGTGTCTGGGTATCTAAGTGAAGAAGGCCAACTACAGTGGCCCTGCTCTAATGCATACTTTGTGATTAAGTGACAAATCATACCTAGGAAAGTGAGACTTTAGTCTCAAACCTTTTCTACAGACCAGGTAATTAATGTCTCTTTCATCACTGATATTGGGCTGGAGCGATATTACCACTGGGTTATAAAAAGGAATTTAAAGACCATACTAACTGTATGGAGCCGTATGGGACTAGGGCTGGAGCTGGAGCGATAGCACAGCCGGTAGGGCATTTGCCTTGCACGTGGCTGACCCAGGTTCTATTCCTCCACCTTTCTAGGAGAGCCCGGCAAGCTACTGAAAGTATCCCGCCCACACAGCAGAGCCTGGCAAGCTCCCCGTGGCATATTCAATATGCCAAAAACAGTAACAACAGGTCTCACAATGGAGACATTACTGGTGCCCACTCAAGCAAATTGATGAATGATGGGAAGACAGTGCTACAGTGCCCCCATGTGACCAAACAGGGATAGGAAAGAAGGGGTGAGGGTCCTGGGGTTTGGGAGAGGAGTGTCGAATTTTACAACTAAAATTGGTGCTTCATGGAGTATAGGGACTACCTGCAACAGTAATGTCAATATACGCTCATGCTTTTGTTAATATTGCATTTGTCAACCCTAAACACCTCTGGGTGTGGCCCCAAAACAAAAAAAATATTGTCTTTGTCCAGACTGAAGTGATAGTACGGTGCGTTAGGCATGCATTGAGCCAACCCATGTTTGATCCCTGGCACATTTGGTTCCCTGAGTCCTGTCGGGAGTCATCCCTGAGCTCAGAGCCATTTGTGCCACCCCTTTTCTCCCCCACAAAAATAAATAAATAAAATAGCACATTTCAAAAATGCAAATTTCTAACATGTTCTTCATAACTAAAGAGGTAGTCTGAATTTTCTCTTTTTCCCTTTTGGACCACACCTGCAATTCTCGGGGGTTACACCTGGCTCTGCACTTGGGAATTACTCCTGCAGTGCTTGGAGGACCAGGCAGATGCTTGGGATCAAATCTGGGCAAGCTACATGTAAGGCAAATGCCCTTCCCAGTGTACTATTGCTCCAGCCCTTGAATTTTCATTTTTGACAGGATTCCCAGGTGAATCTTACATACAATTTTAATCCTACCAGACAGAAAGCTTTGTTTTATTTTTAGGTGGATATTTGGGCAAGGAAGAATTACTGGATTTACTTATGGCGATTCACTCTAATTCCTCTCTTGCTTAGCAGGACAGAAAAGACACATTTTAGTACTGCTAAATTGCCATTAATACGATTTTTCTATTTTTTGCCTAAATTGCAGGGTTCTGGTGAGCTTAATCCACCAATTTGATCCCTTGTATTATGTCCCTCAATACTACTTAGAGTATATGGTCATGGGACCACTGTCTTCTAACAGAATTGACACTTCAGCACATTGCAGAGATCAGTCTCCTTGATTTAGTAACTGAAACACTTCAGTAGATTCAAAAGTGATACCTGAGTTTTGAACAAATAGCCTATGATGAATCTGGATGTTGTGGACCAATACAGTCCAAGAAGTAAACATTATGGCTTGAGTTAGTTAAAATGGCTGTTTCTGAACCTATTCATAGAAGCTAGTGTTTTTAAAATAGGATTAGCAGTAGCCAGTCACCAGAAGCTTCCATAGTTTTATACTTTCCTCCTTGGTACAGACATACCTGAATACCTTTTGATTTTCCAAGAATTTCTCCTTAAGTCTTAAGAAAGTACCTCGGTATCATCATTGATTGATATTTCCTCTTGTTATGTAATGTGGTTAAATGCGAACTGTCTTCTTAGTGGGATATAAAAAAAAAACTTTAGGTCTGAATTAAACTCTTATTTTCTTGTTTAAGCTACTTAGTGGGCGATGAACTGTGGGTAGTCATGGAATACTTGGCTGGTGGCTCTTTGACTGATGTGGTAACAGAAACCTGTATGGATGAAGGACAGATAGCAGCTGTGTGCAGAGAGGTAAGATAATTAAGTATTTCTAGGTAACAAGAAAACTTCTAACTTAAATCCTAACCTAATAGTAATCCCCTTACCTTCTATCCCAGTAAATTGCCTATAATAGTTGCCTTTCTGTGGATCTTTTAAATTTTGTTATGCCATCTATGAGATACCATATCTAAGCATGCATATTATGGTTTCAGTAAACGTCATGGGAAAATATAAATAAGAATTCACGGAAAATACAGATTTCAACATGGAACTATTTTATAATTTTTTATACCTCTCACATAGTAGTCATTTTGTCCTGCATGTGCAATGTGAACAATATAAAATACAGACAAAATTATCATGCCATCATTATCCAGATGAACTAGTTAATTTAAATAAGTTCTTTCCTCAGTCTAGAAAATAGTTGCTTTTATAGAACAACTAGATATTCCTCACGTTCCACTGGTGAACTTGAGGATGTGGCTTTTATTTATTTATTTATTTATTTATTTATTTATTTATGTTTTTTGTTTTGGGGCCACACCCAGTTGATGCTCAGGGCTTACATCTGGCTCTGCACTCAGGAATTACTCCTGGCTGTGTGCTCAAGTGACCATATGGGATGCCGAGGACCTAACCCAGGTCATCCATGTGCAAGGCAAGCACACTACCCACTGAACTATCACTCCTGTCCTTCTAGCTCTTTTACTAATAACCGTATGATATCTGTACTTTCAAGATGAACTAAGGATATTTTATTACATTAATAACTCTTAGTGTTAAAAATACCATCCTCAATGGAATCTCATCTTCGTCATACTACCTATCCCATTTATTGTGGTGAGGAAATAGATTGGAACCACAAACTCTGACCCACTGAAACTTGAAAATCATTCATAGGGAAACAAAATAAACAGTCTTGCCTATATTTCATTTTAAGTTTTTCATTTAAATTTCTTGCTTCCATAATCTCATCTTTTCCATTTTTTTACTATCACAATACAAAGCCATTTTCAAACAAGTACCGATAGTCACTTCGTACCTTGGAAATGGTCCCCAAACTTCTTGTTGGTCAGAAGTTGCTTTGAGACTGGAGAGATAGTATAACCCAAGTTTGGTCCTCAGCAAAAAATTATTTTGAGCACCTGGTTTTTTCCTCCATAGTCTTTATTTATTTTCTTAATTTATTACTTTTATTTTTTAATTTAATTTTATAAAGTCTTTCACAATATTTAATTACATTTAATATTTGAACACCAATCCTACCACCATTACACCTATCCCAAACTCCAACCCCTGTCCCAAAGCAGAACTGAAATAATTTATTTTGTATTGTTTGTTATGAATAAACCGCCAAAAATGCTCCAAAAAATTTCCTGAGAGGTTGGAACAATAGCACCGTGGTAGGATATTTTCCCTGCACACAGTCAACCCGGATTTGATTCCCAGCATCCATATGGTCCTCTGAGCACTTCTGGGAGTAATTCCTGAGTGTATGAGCCAGGAATAACCCCTGTGCATCACCAGGTGTGACCCAAAAAGCAAAAAAAAAAAGTTTCCTGAGAGAAAAGTGTGTGAAGATTGTTGAATTTCACCCAGGGGCCATTGAACCCTTCTATAAGGATTATTAACATGTTGTTAAAGGTTGAGCCTTGTGTGTGTGTATATATATATACACACACACACACATATATATGTATATACCTGAAAAATATATATCCCTCTAACATTGGTTGACTTCTACTTTAAACCCCAGCAAATGTGGTGCACTACTCTTGGAATATTCGTGGTGCAAGGTATGAGATGCCACAGCCTGCAAATGTGGCTGCATGGTCCAGGAATAGTTCACTCATAGGTGAGACTCAGCTGGAGTATGTAGAAAGCAGTCATGAGCATGACAGCGGTTAAGTTCTGGAGGTTTTCGGCTGCCGGGGCTGGGTCCCTTGGGTCGGGGAGGGGCCTCACCCGCCCCCCCCCCTCCAGGGTGCCCTGAATCAGCCTGGCACGGGGTCTGGTGGCATGGCTATATCTAATTGTTTTATGCTCTCTACCGAGATTTTTATAATGAGTTTCTGGATCATGGTCTTTGATGGGGTTATCTGGCACCCACCAGAGGTGCCTTGAAGATGTGACTGCCAAGTTTGAGCACTTGTTTTAAATGTAGATTCCTAAGTCCCACTCAAGATCCACTACCAAATAATATAAAGTGCACAGAATTACTAAATTCATGTAAGGTCAAGCTAAATATAGTTCCGCTAGATAACTAGATTAAAATATGGTTATATTAATTGGTTAGTTTGGCTATAATCCTTTCCTAATTTAGTGAAACTTATCACATCAACATTCTTGCTATTTTAGTCTCACTGAAGAACCTTCCTATGTATAATGCTGAATACCATTACTAAAGTAAATGGTAGCATTTCAAAATATTTAGTAATACATTTTACTTAACAATCTAAAACTAAATCCAACCTTGCCTAAAGTTTACATAGAAATGAAATATTTTTTAAAATATTCTATGTGATATAACTAGAACTTTTCTTCTGATTTAATAGTGCCTCCAGGCTTTGGATTTCTTGCACTCAAACCAAGTGATCCATAGAGATATAAAGAGTGACAATATTCTCCTTGGGATGGATGGCTCTGTTAAATTGAGTAGGTATTTTTGTTCAGATGATTGTTTAGAATATATTGAAAATTACTGTTCTTTTATTGTTTATCATGAAAATATAATAGGTTTTGAAATTAATTTCCAGTCATTAAGAGAGCAGTTTGTGATAACTAATTTTTATAATACTGTGATCCCATGTATTGTAACCAGATTTTATTAATATTAATATTTTAGAATTTCTATCAATTTTCAGCTGCTTGGTGTCAGCAATCTAATTATAATATTGAAAGTTTCTATTAATTGAAAGACAAAATAATGAAAAAGAAACTACATTAAGTTCTAGGGAAAAAATGACATCATGCAAGTTATTTCAAATCATTTTAAAATTAGGGGAAGCCAAATGGAAGGGGGTGGTGAGTGCCTGCTATAAAGACGAGCAGGCAAGGGGGATGGTGGGAGGGAAACGGCAGACAATGGTGGTGGAAAATGTATACTGATGGAAGGATGGGTATTGGGACATTGTGTGACTGAAGCCTAATCATAGCTTTTTAACTGTGTATCTCACAGTGATTCAATTTAAAAATTAAAATTAAAAATTTAAAAAAGTGAAAAAAGAAATTAGGGGCAGCTTAGTTAACGAAAGAAAATGAACTAAGAAGCTGTAGAAGTTCAGTTCCAAAGTAAGAAGATATAAACACACCTGAGAGTGTTTTGTTGTAAAGAAAAAATAATTTGAACCTCTTTTAACTGACTTTACTTCTCCACAGCTGATTTTGGGTTCTGTGCCCAAATAACTCCTGAGCAAAGTAAACGAAGCACCATGGTTGGAACACCCTATTGGATGGCACCTGAGGTGGTGACTCGGAAGGCCTATGGTCCGAAGGTTGATATCTGGTCTCTGGGTATTATGGCAATTGAAATGGTGGAAGGTGAACCCCCTTACCTTAATGAAAATCCACTCAGGGTAAGTACAGAGAAAACTCAGGTACTTGATCCCCAGGAAAGGGAAACAACCAATATATTTACTTGCTTCCATTCAAAGTAGCCAGAAAGATGAGAGAGAGAGAGAGAGAGAGAGAGAGAGAGAGAGAGAGAGAGAGAGAGAGAGAGAGAGAGAGAAGAGAAGAGAAGAGAAGAGAAGAGAAGAGAAGAGAAGAGAAGAGAAGAGAAGAGAAGAGAAGAGAAGAGAAGAGAAGAGAAGAGAAGAGAAGAGAAGAGAAGAGAAGAGAAGAGAAGAGAAGGAAAAGTGCCTGCCACACGGTGGGGGGTGTGGGTCGGGAATCTGGAGACATTGGTGGTGGGAAATGTACACTGGTAGAGGAATGGATGTTGGAATATTATATGACTCAAATCCAGTCATGAGCAACTTAGTAACTGTGAATCTCACTGTAATTAAATAAAAATATTTTTAAAGTAGCCAGAACGAGCTCATTCCTAGAACAAGTAACATAGACACTCCAAACTGAAATTTTCAAAGTCACTTTGATTTACTTCTAACTTACCTTAAGCTGTCTCAATGATTTCTAAAGTGTTTTGATATCAGTATTTATAATGTAGTGGTTCTTAAATATTTTTGTCTTGGGGACTATAGCTAGTGATGCTCAGGGCTTATTACTGGCTCTATTCCCAGTGGTCACTTGTGACAGGATTCAGACAACTTATGTGGTGCTGGAGATTGAATCCTGGTTGTCCATGTGCAAAGCAAGTGCCTTACCCACTGTACTCTCTTTGGTTCCAAAAAGAATACCTTTATCACCAGACACGGCTGAATAATCTATCTAGAAAACACTTCCTTTATCATTACTTTAACAAAGTAAATAAATGTGTTTACAGAATGTAAATATACATGTATCTACATAGTTTGGAGTCTATATGCAGCGGTCCTCAGGTTTTACTCCTAGCTTTGTACTCAAGGATCATACCTTGCTTGTCTTGAAGAACAGTATAGGGTGCCAAGTATTGAACCCAGGTTAGCTGCATGTAAAGCAAGCATATTACCCACTAAATTATTTCTTCAGCCCCAACCACCTGTATTCTGTTTCATTATCAATAATAATTGTTGTGCATCAACAGCTTGCTGGGTATGGAATGGAGCAAGATGACCAGTGTCAACCTAGTGAAGTCACAGACATAATTAGAGTGTCAAATACAATGAATGGAAACAATTTGTGTTGGTGACTCAGTTTGCTACTGCATAATCAGAAGTCTAAATTCATACCAAGTCTTGTTACCTCTACAAGAGGAAAGCTCCATTTCATGGCTGAAAACTACCACCTTTAATCAGAGATAAGCTATTGATCGCTACAGGAAAAGGCAAGAGAGTACTGTAGAAATTCTTGCTCAGCACAGTGACTTGCGATCTCTTGTTGTATAAAAGTGAAACTATTCAGTGTATAAAAGGCATCATGCTGTTGGAAAAAAGAAACATGCACAGATTCAAATTCTAGTCTCAGAATTCATACACAGTGTTAGTGCCAGATGCTTCTTGCATACTTTCTACATCATTACCACTGAGTTTAAAAGTGAATTTTACTTTTCATGTGTGACAGTCAGTGTTTTTAGCAAGTGTTTACGTAGATACATGTTAAACTTTTAAAATCCACATTCAAACCAAATACATGTGGCTTTATATAAAGAAAATATATTAGCTAATCCTGTAGTTATTTTTGTTGCTGAGCATTTTTAGTTGGGAACTACAACTCCCCATCTATGGAGGAAACAGATACCTCCACATTCCCTCCTAATTGGCCTCTTGTCCTAGTCTCAGCACTGATTAGAAAACAAGAGATATGAGTGAATACCTCAGTGAATGCTATGGGCTATTTCTCTGATCTGAAACAATCTGGAAGTGAGATGTGTGAGTTGATTAGCTGCCTAAAAGGGCGAGTGGAAAAGAAGGGGCATTTTCCCACCATTTGTGGGTCAGCCCTTTATGAATTTAATCAATCCCACCCATGACCTGTGTTCAGTACATAAAGGTAATTACATGGGTTTGTCCTTATTGTTTAGCTACCCTTCCCATTAAGAAATAGCAGTGAAAGAACACATCAGGCCTCTTGTTTCCATGGATTTTCTCCTCTAATTCTTCCAGTTTGGAGACACTAAATGGATTATGGCTATTTTGTTTTCTGCCTTTTAAGGATTAAATAAATGGCTCTGTAAAACAACTGGTCTCAGTAATGCATTTATTACCTTCTTCTGTTCCCCAATTACAATTAATCTCTCTTTATTGAGGCTGTTAATTGTTAGCCAAAAAAGGAAACAAGTTTTAATCTTTATAGGCATCTTCAAGTCTGGAATTAGAACTCATAATTAACAGCTTGTCTCAGACTCCTGAGCCTTGTATCTAAACAAGTACTTGCAGATTAGTAGTCACCAGTTTCAGGAAGCTTACATTATGGCTATAAAATAAAAGACTTGCTATTAAGACCACCCTATGGCATTCCAGAGATAAGGGTGTGCTCTAAGTTTGCTCATTACTCTGTGTGATCAACCTCCAATGAAAGAGGTCCATATTGAGACCAGTTCTCCTATGGGCATATCTCTCTGTCAGTTGCCACAATTATTCTTTTAGTTTTGATTTTAAATGTGCTGTCTGCATGTTATCTTAGAGAACACACAGAATTTAAAGATCTATGCCCTCATTTGAATTTGAAATGCATAGTTATTGAAATCATGAAGATTCTGAAGAGGAAAATATAATACAAGCATGTAGGAAGCATGCATTTTCTTGGATCATGGGGACTCAGTCATATGAGAAGAAACAGGAAATCACAAAGATTGAGAAGTGGTATAAAAGAGAACAGGTTTGGTGTTTCTTTCTTTAATACCCTTGTAGTGTTACCATCTGTCCACTTATTTAGGACAAATGAAGGAATTTAGTGTCAGGAACACAGAGTGATAAAATATAGCATCTTATTCTGTAAAAAATTATCTCGGAGAGCCTGGAAAGCTACCGAGAATATCTTGCTGCACAGCAAAGCCTGGCAAGCTACCCTTGACGTATTTGATATTCCAAACACAGTAACAAGTCTCACAATGGAGACGTTACTGGGCCCACTCGAGAAAATCAATGAACAACTGGAGGACAATGTTATACTGACTCCACAACCTGTAAGTTCTGTGACTTTGATAAAGGAACTTAAAGTATTTATAGGCCTATTTCCTTTGTGTAAAATGAGAATGATATTAATCTTGAAGAGTTAATGTGAAACTAAATGAAGTTGTATATGTAAATAACCAAGCACTGTAGTAGAGCTCATTGTAGAATTTTCTAATACTAATAGGTCTGTACTAATTGACCAATTTGCTTATTAAATGTTCTTTGGAGATCAGAGTACCTCAACTATACAAATGTTGTAAAGTTCCTTCCAGAGATATCCTTCCAGATATAGAAGAGATGATATTCTTACCATCCCTCAATGCCTAGTTTTGGTACACAGAATACTTGGACATGTTGTTCTGTGACCCATGGACATATTTGGTGCAGTTTCCAATAACTAAGTCCCTTGTTCTTACCGCCAATGTGACTGGCGATAAAAATCAAACATCTGTGGATATGCGCATCAAACTTTGATGTTCTCTTCATCTCTCTAATTTTTCATTGCTTTTGTTGTTCCTAATTAAAGATATATTTTTTTAAAAACTATGACTATAATGATCCAATTCCAAATAAGGACACATAGTCATTTCCATAAAATATATCTGAATTTTTGCTTTTTTATTTTTTTGAGCCCCATAGCTAAAGGCCTATTCCTGGTTCTATGATGAGGGATCACTCCTGGCATGCTCAAAGGACCATATTGTTTCTGTGGATTAAACCCAGGTTGGCCTCGTTCAAGGCAAGCACCCTCCCCACTGCACTGTCTCTTCAACTCCTATCTTTGATTTTTTTATCACATAGGAACACCTCCTTATTAATTTTTAATTCACATATAATAAAATTACACTTGTCAATCTGTCCTGATTGGGATATGTTTTTCATGATATCTAGCTTGGATCTTTTTTATGTGTGATTTTCCAAACCTTTAATTCTATGGGAATAAAAAATTTCTACTCTTACTTAAAGCTCCCTCTCAGAGAACCCAGCAAGCTACCACGAGTATCCTGCCCACACAGCAGAGCCTTGCAAGCTCCCTGTGTTGTATTTGATATGCCAAAAACAGTAACAACAAGTCTCACAATGGAGACATTACAGGTGCCCGCTCAAGCAAATCAGTGAACAACAGGACAGTGCTACAGTGCTACTTAATGCATCTACACAACTATTTGATCTTTGGAAAGTAGTTACTGGTATCCAAAGGAACATCTAAATCACTGATTTTGGAATGGTGGCTTATAGACTGTACATTGAAGGGGTACATATTTTAATGATTCTTACAATTTCTTAGCATAATGATCCCTTATTAGTTATATAATGTCCATGTCTGACTCTTGTTACCTTTTTTAAAGGTTTAAATACAGTTTGTCTGATTTAATACACCTACCCCTACATTAGCCTCTCAGTTGCCTATCTGATTTTTTTTCAAGCATTTTATTTTTAATTTGTCATTGAAGATCAAGTGTGCAACCTGTGAGCATCACAAGATTGGTTTTTTTTCTTCATTCATTCAGCCACTCTGTGCTTGTAGATTGGTGAGTTTGTACCACTAATGATTAGTCAAGAAATTATAGATATTTTTCCTTTTATAAAATAGGCTCCAGAGGCTGGAGCAATAGCACAGCGGGTAAGGCGTTTGCCTTGCACGCAGCCAAGATGGCCGATACAGGTTCGATTCCCAGCATCCCATATGGTCCCCCGAGCACCGCCAGGAGTGATTCCTGAGTGCATGAGCCAGGAGTAACCCCTGAGCATTGCCAGGTGTGACCCAAAAAGCAAAAAAAAAAATAGGCTCCAGTATTTCTTGCAGAGCTGGTTTAGTGGCCATGAATTCCTTTAACTGTTGTTTGTCTGAAAACATTTTT